CTGCTATAATTATGACCTGCTTTACGCGCAAGTCACTGTTTCTGCGCCCACCACAAGCATAATCTTTCGCGATGATAGAACTGTAATCAAGTGCCCGAGTCGCGACATGTCGTATATTCATGCAGCCTATGGTGTGCGAGAGCTGAAGTTCGACGCAACTATTTAGCAACTCTGTCCTCTTCTGCGCCATCTTACTGACGACTCTTGCAACTATGCGAGTTAGGACAATATTAGTCACGCGATTTTCTATAGGAGTTAAGGCTAAGATGGTTAACCTAAACAGCTACGATCTTCCAGGCGCGATTCCTTAGGAGAGGAGAGAAGACGGTGGGAAAGCGGGAGTGTTAGGAACAATATATTGTGTACAGAAGGGTTAGGAGGAAGTTGCCACTCGGTCCAGCCGTGAGCGGGCGTCCTGCTCAGAGCGGATTCTTAAGTGTCCATCAGCGCAGGAAATGACTGAGAACCGGAGAAAGCTTCAGGACGCTGATTGGTCAACCAGTTTGGGGCGCGTCTATGCGCCCCAGTTGTGCGAGGCCCAAGGTCGCGTGTCGGTGCGGACATGCGCCATCGCAATGGGAAAGGCGCGACTGGGCGACCAAGATTTACCCTGCGAGAAAAAGTCAGTGGCGTCTCGAGTTTGAAGGGGGTGGGCTGTAGAACCACTACATTTCCTCCATGCATTGGTAGTTAGGCTTGGTGGTGGAGTCTTCTCATATTCACGTAATTGACCAATTTTCTGTCGTCCAGCCAGATCTTTAGTTGGAGGAAGTCAGTGAATGCTATGGCTGACATTCAACTGTCCTCTTAGACTTGAACGGTCACAATGCCACGTAAATTGCAAGCTCTTAGTGTGTATACACGGTAATCGTTCACTAACGTAAAAAACTACGACAGGGCCCCTCACGGGAAAAATACCAACAAACTGCAACACACCCAGAGAACATGTTATAAAGTTCTTCAAAGGAGCCCACGCATATGAAACACTGCAACAGTTAACCGAGCGTGCATATGTCAGGAGCAATTAGCACAACCGGCATGCAATTTGCACGTTAAAAGTTAGGGGAGTTGTAGCCACCACTCCTGGCCTTCAACGCCATTCGTAAAAGTAAACCCAAACATAATACGCCTACTAAGAGCAAATGAGTAATTGGTTAAGTTATAAAATAATCGGAACCGTATTTCACATCTTCAGCCGTTTCCAGTATTGCCTACACCGGGACGAGAGAAAATAATTGTTTGGCATCGATAAGCACCATTTTAATCCTCAACTGAAGTCTTTGTTAGCTGGCTTTCACTCTTGCAGAAACATAACAAAGTTTCTGTTAGGGTAAGATTAGGATCTGCGCCCAGGAGACATTAATAGGAGCACGACTTACATCTAACTTGGGGCAGTACTCCTTAACTGTATACAGACAGGCACCATTCCACCTTCCTGACGGCTTAAATAGCAGCAGGAAGGAGGAAACGTTTTGACGGCAAAAGGAATATAGAGATCTGGCGTGAAAGAAGAAAGACTTTGGGCGAAAGCAGACGTTGATAGAAACAAACGGTTATAATTTGACATCGAGCATCTGTTTCGTCAGAGAGAGATCGACAGAGGGTGAGAAGATGAAAGCGTTACTGAGCCAGGGCCACTTTGTACTCATTGAGGGGATTCGTAGCGGGCTGCGAAAAGGATTAAGCACAAGACTGCAGAGGAAATCGAAGTCTGTCGACTTTGGGCCGACTTCGCCTGCGGATTTGCGCGTCAGCTCCTCCAGAACCCTCAGGCTGCATAGGCAACTGTACTGGCAGGAGTCAGTGAAGAAAACAGGCTTTCCCAGTTTCTGTCAAGAAAAGGAAGGTGTAGGCATGGGGAAATAATCGTGGCCACAGACAATAGACAGCAAGTGGAAAAAAAGGTTTTGAGGTTCCTCAACCACAAATTCCTCAAGGACGATAGTGCATTCCCTAACTGGGTAGTTAGAAGGGGGAGCTAAATTGACGAGCTTTATTGCTAATAGGCAGATTTGAATAATTTATTTGGCACAATTATAATCAACTAGGCAGCTTCCGCAAGGTATTTAAATCCAGCACAGCAAGGCGAAGGCTTTAGTACAGCCAAAGTTCTAACCAATTGAGCTACGATACCACACCGGGAGCTGCGATGTTAATCACAATAGCGTCAAGTTACCCACCCAGTCTGTTGCAATGTATGAAGTGCACGCATTCTGATACAGCAAGTGTTTAAGTTATCCCATGCAAGGAAGCACTGCTTACTGACTCATCAGGGTCTCAGAATGAGCCTTAGACAAAGCACGCTTACTAACCCCTCCCAATTAATCGTGACAATTGCAATATCCACTCCGAATTCCCTTCAGCAAAAAGGGCTTCCCACTTTGGAATGCTGGCCGCCTCAAAATATGACAGTTAATAAGCAAAAGCGGTAAAGTTGGCACTAAGTGCAACGGTAGTATGATTATTACTGCTGGTATTAGTAACAGTAGCAGGTATTGTACTTACGTTGAGAAGATCTACCGTCTCCGGCCAGGTGGAGTAAGTCGCAAGTCCAGCATTGAAGCCTTAGAAAAAAACGGTAGAAGAAAATAAGGCGCAGATAACTATTGTCCGTGGGACAGGCTAGGCCAATCAGGGGCGCATGTGCCTCAAATAAATTAAATACAGATAAGGCGTGCTTAAAAACCACCAGCAGTACGCGAAGGCTCCAGCCAGAGCACCCATCAGTGGACAGGAGCGCGGCAGAACTCGGCTGCTGTGCCTTGAGAAAAAACCAAATCGCATATCATTAGAGGTATTAAACAAGGAGTAATTGTAGTACCAGTGATGTTTTCCCACTAATGTTGCACACCCACCTACACATTGGACCCCGACGGGGACTCCTGATCCAACAATGGGCTACCAACCAACCAACCAACCCGCCTACAGTATGACTAAGAATTCCTGCAAGGGTCGTTAAGAAATGTGGTTTATTAGTCTAGCATATACTTAGTCACGTTATTTTGATCCAATGAGTGGATTTAATCCGGAGAAGGGCCTTTAGTATGGAAACTGCCTGCTTAGTTCAGTATCTTGAGGGTAATATGCACTAATGTTGGCAAAATCAGAGGTAGT